ATCCACCACATCATATGTATTAAAATTTTAAAAAACTGCGAATTCTTGAAGCTTTCTACGTCCCTCAGCCTCACGGACTGTATTTTTTGTTAAGCGGCAACAAAAAAAATCACGTTGAATGATTCGATGAAAATGCACCAACCGCTCTTCGCGATTAAATTCGGTATTTCTCCATTCATTAAGTCGCTTGAGCACTCCTTCCAACCGAATTGCTTTTCGATTTGCCAATGTCGTCGGCTGCAATATTCAACAAAACATTGCTGAGGAAGTGGTTCCAAAAATTAACGCTACTGATTTTTATACAAAAAAAAAAAAAGATCAATTAATAAGTAAAAGAAAGATGTACACAAAAGCCTATAAAGATAAGTGCCTAACAAGCAATTACTGGTCATAAACTGCACACACCCATACATTACGTATACACATACACGTATGTATACATACACACATGCACTATATATAATAGGTATACTACATGCATATGATGTGTCGGTGTGTGTACTGTGTGTACAAGCGCTTCAAATAGCCTAATCCCGCTGCAAGTAGCAACTTAGTCGACAACGCACCGGCTGCCGGTGCGAAGATGCGTTTTTTGTACAGTTCCCCCACAGGTTCTTGCTGCTAATGGCACTGTTTTTTTCGGCAGATGCTTCTAGCTAAGAGAATTGACAGTAGCCCCCATGGCTATTAGAAATTATTGCAGTGATTCCTAATTCATGACCAAAAAGTTCGGCACTCTAGGTGCTTCGGATGCAGAGTAACATCAAATTCAACGTGCTCGCACATGAGTGGCAATGCGAGTGATTCCTTCGCGTGCGACTGCTCAAATACGGTCCTGGGCAGCGCTCAGAAAGTTTCAGCAATCCAGCTGCTCTGGTTGCAGAGTTACGCCAAAGTTCACGTGTGGGTACGTTAGACATACGTGAGACGTGGAAAAGATGTGCAAGTCGTTTCTGCGTCCATCTAGTCAAAGGCCACCCTCGATATGCTTATTAAGTTTTAGTTTTCAAGCTGCTTCAATTCTGAAGTTACAAAAGTGCACGCGTGGAATTCTCACGTGCCCGTACGTGAGATGCAGAAGAGCTGGAAAACTCAATTTACTTACATGGACACAACAGTGGACGACAAGTAACGCTGCAAAATTGCAGTTGTCTACAAATTCTCGGTCAGCCTAAATCTGGAGTTGGCACTGTACCAGTTTAAATTTTGACGTATGCGTACGTGAGACCTAGAAGTGCCTGAAGGCCGAATTTGAAATCTCTGGATTAGTCGCGGCCATGGAACATTTCTGTGGAGATTCAGCCTCCTAGCTTGCGCCGTCTCCGAAAACGTCTCCCCGTCGAAAAAACTTTCACGTGCCCGTACGTGAGTCCACGCAGACGTGAGCGTCCATTTCGAGGATGGAGGCCCGCATGCATGTGAAGATTAAGTTCCCAAAGTTACAGCCTTGAGACTTTTGTGAATCTCGAAATGAAAACACGTTACGGATGCACACACATGCACACTCAGACGACCCCTCGAAAATATGCGTTTTAGCACTGCATAGAAGCAAAAACGCATAAAAACAACATACTTCGAGTTTTCCGCCTATAGCTGGTCTCTGTGCCTTCGGAATGAATCTGCGACGGAATGTTTTGGAAACCCACAACCAACCGCCGAGTGCACCGCGCCCGTTTACTCGGTAATTTTCATCGTTTTGTCGCCACAGTGTCCTTTTGATGACTGCTCCCACTTTGTGATATTTCACCCAAATCACTTCCTCATCATCCGCATCGGCCGATAGCAGATCCTGCAATACAAACGCTTCAATCACCAATGTTCCTCTG